GAACTAAGATTCGATGACTACGTGATGACATCACAATGGTCTTGTATAAAATTTTACAACATCTAAGTTTCCTGTGTAGAGGACAGGGCGGATATAACCGCCTTTCTTCTAAAACTGATTAAAAAGTTTAGATGCCAATTTTTATTTTATGAAAAATAAGAATGAATAAATTATAAACTTCTCCAATTTAGATTTAATTGATAAAATAATTGTTCTGTAATTTTTTTTATTATTTAAATGTGAGTTGAACAAACAAATATATACTTATGGAATAAATCCGATTTTGACACGTACAAAATGCGTATATTTTTGTTGTATTTTGCGGTGAAAGCTTCTTCATTATTCATGTTGGAGCTTTTAAAAGCGACGTTGAAAGGTTTTATAAATGTAGGTTCCATTTAGATGAAAAAAAAATGTAAATAATAATTTTCAATTGCATATGTATTTGGTTTTTGTTTGCAAATGAATGTGCAAATTGGTGAGAGCTTTGATTTATCAATAACAATAAATGGAATGACGCCCAAGAACACAAAGTGCGTGTTGTTGTTCCAGGATTTCCGGGATTTCAACACAAAGCTTCCTTGTACAATTGATAATTCGAAATTATTTTGTAATTATCTTCATGAAAGCTACTCCTCCACACACATTCACTTTGTTCTGTTATTGATTAAATACAGAGGATATTTGCAAATATAAATGATTTAGTTCTGTAAAATAATTAATTGTAATTAGATCAAAGCCTATATTATAAATTATAAAACTTTTAATTAATATAAGTAGATTTAATAATATAAAAAAAACATAAATTAACCAATAAAAATATTCAAAAAATAATTTCATTCCTAAGATATTCATATATAATAATTATAATTATCAGAAAGCATTTGATGTTATGTAATTCTTAAATGATTATAAACAAATTAGTTCCATTATCAATATTATATGATTTAGCACGATGGTTTATGTAGTTTGGTAAATATAGGAAATCAAATTATATCAAATTGTTTCATAAAATAGAATACGAAATAATATTTTGAAAAAAGTCTAATTTTTAGATATTTTAAGTAAATTTTTGCAATATTTCATGTCTGTTTTTCTTGTGTTTGTAAATATTTATAAAATTGTATAATTCTTACAAAAATAAATCTAAATAATTTTCAATTTTTTATTCATCAAAATTAATGTTATTGATAGAAAGATGACTTTTAAATCTTTTGTTATACAGAACATAATTGAATCATATACAAAATCAAACTATGTTAGGATAGTTTTGGAAGCAGTATATATATTCATGGATGCAAATTAAAGTAATTGAGGAGAGGCAGTTACACGTTGAGTTTGACCCATTCAATCGAATTTCCATGGGACACACAAGGAGACTGCGATTCATGCATTCATAACTAAATGCATTTGAAATATATAGTAAATTCGAATAAACTAGACTTTGCTTGAATATCCAATTGAAATTATTCATTTAATTTATATAATATATTTCTAGTAATGAAAAAAATCTTTTGAACTGTTTTTGTTGTAATTAATTATATTTTGGAATATTTAGATATTTTTATAATATTTATTAAAAACAACTTATTTCCATCCAATTATTTCTTTATATACATTGAGACCTTGTTTAATGCTTCATCGGTTAATACTGATTCGATATAAGCCAAAAAAATAACAATAATAATTTATCCGCCTTATCCTTTACATTTAGAAACTTTTTTTTATTGACAAATACAGCACCCGGACTAATTGAGAAACTAAATGCACATAAATATACAAATATAAAAAACATCATTTACTATTTTTTTGAATATATTTTTATTTTGAAAACAATGAATTGATGGTGCATTATGTGATGTATCGCTATACAATGGTTTCATTATTTTTACTGTATCGCAGTGATCTATTGGCGTATAATGACTGTAGAAAATGGTGGATTTGACAACGATATGTATAAATAATTAATTTATCGCACATGGGAAAATTTAAATATACACGTTATGCTAAATATACTTCAAACACGCCAACACGTACCGTTTATAGTTCAGATTTATTATAATTATTATTTCATAGCAATGCCATTATATTTTGAATACATTAATTTATCGACTGAAACAAGAAAAAAACGTAAGTGCTTTTACAACTTTTTATAATAATTTCTAATATTTATTTAGTTACAATATTTATTTATTGAATTTATAAAAGTATAAAAAAAGACAGAAAGACAATAGATGTGACGATATAATTTTGTTTCATTCATTTTTCGTACAGGTAATGTAATCTTTTGATTACACCGTCCGAAACCGGACTAATTGAAAAAATATTTGTCATAGACGTAAGGACTTCAATTCATAAAGAAAACAGAAAAACTTCATTCATGTTTAATAAATGGTAATAAATCAAGAACTAATGTTAACTAAATAAATAAAAAATATAGTAATTAGAAAATTTTGTTATCAACGAAGTTTAAGACGAATAAAACAAAATTAAAGAAATTCTCATCACAAAAATATTAACAAAGATTAACAGAATTCTTAAATGAAAGAGACAATCATATTTTCAAATGTGATTTCACTTTGTATGAAAGTTGACTATTTCTTTAATGAAACATTTCTTTGTTACAAAAAAGCTTTTTTTTACCTAGAAACTTCGTTTTCAGAGGTAAAAATGCTAATGTGGATGCATTTTTACCTCTGAAAACAAAGTTTCAGCTAATGTGGATGTATTTTTACCTCTGAAAACAAAGTTTCGCTTAACAGAGTAATTTCGTGGAATGCCTATAATTCGTTAATCGAGGTGTGATTATATGTTTTATCGCCAATTGATGTTTCAACAATATTGATAATACAAAATTCACATGTTGATTCATATAATCAAATACTGAATTCCATTGTATTATAAGTCCATTTTTCTTGTATTGTAAAGAAAATTGTAATACATTAGGTTACGTCATACGTTATGTTCATAACACGTAATAACGTTCATAACTGAAATGTATATACGTCGATGATGAATACCGTTGTTACATGCAACACCTCTGATATTATTATTATCACGTATTATGAAAGCGGTGTCACGAAATGTGATATGTGGTTATATTGTAATGAAGGCATAATTATGAAATAAACAGACGAATACTGAAATATTTACGCACATATTTGCATTAATAATGTACAAAATCTTGTTACATTTATGAAATTCATAAATTAAAAAAAAAAACAAATTATTTTTAGAATATAATTTGGATAATTAAAAGAGAATGTTATGTAAAAACATATTAGCTTTCAATTAAATTATGTAATTAAATGTTTTATAACTTTTGTATATAACAAAAAATCAATCCGGGCTGACCGAAACAGGACTAATTGAAGAACTAAACAATGTAGAACTAAACGCACAGAAAGAGACTTGGCTGTAAAAAATAATGTTGTGTACAAAATTTTTATTTTGTACAATTAAAATGTAGTTTATTGCTCTATTATAATTTCATTAATTTTGTAAGTTAAAACTGTTTTATACACTTATTTATTATTATTAATATAATGATAAAATACAATACAAAAATGTGAACATTGTGTAATCAATGATTGAATTATTCATGTGGAACGTCACGCCCGCAGTGACAATTTCACAAATGAAAGTGTGCACCAATTAAACGAAATAAAGGGATGCGATACGGTGCGATTCAAATTTGAGCGTAGCATTTAAATAAATTCGTGGCTATTTCGGCCATAACAATTCCATTTAAGCGAGACAAATAAATCTCACATATTTAGTGTGATGGCATGGCATTCCGCGGTTACGTTGTGTGTTCATAGTCTAATATATTTCAGGCCGTTTCAGAGGAACGTGTGAGAGAGTTTTATTTAAATTTCAACCAAACCCACCCGCACACAATTCGAAGCGCACAAAGCCCACCCCAAGATAAAGAGCTTTAATAAGTAATTTAATTGATTCGATAAAGATGTTCCCTCTTTCAAATTCCCTTTAAATATACAGGGTGGATAATTTAATGTTTCATATAGGTGGCGGTTACATAAGGGCTGCATTTTTTTATTTATGTAAACCAATTTATTGGGCTTAAATCTATATAATTTACAAATGATTACAAACTTTAGAATTTTTATAGAAAATTCAAAAGTTAATTTTCTATGCTTGGATGTACTTGTATAGTTTGAAGATTATCAATACTATTGTTAGATTTTTTTGTGATTAAAGATAAATAATGTGAAGACAAAATAAAAGCCATCAACAGTATTCCTTGCGCATTTTGTATTTGATTTAACATGAATTAATGACAGTTTTAAGGCCAACAGTGTGCTTTTATAATTTCTTTGTAGTTGGTTGAAGATCAATCCTATAGGTTAATGATTGTTTCAAGGTCATTAGGAAAAGTTCTTTAATGATGATTTTGTAGCTAATTGAATATAAAACCTTTGAACTACTAAGAAGTTTCTATTTAACTCAACAAATGTTAATGACCTTGAAAAAATACCAAACATTTATTATGTTACACTTTCAAAAACATGAAATTTTGTCGTGTAATATAAAGTAAAGTTTGTATTTAACAAAAAATATTGATTCAAAATATGACTTTTTGTATTATATCTTCTAGAAAAAAATGTCTAGCTATAAACATTTAAATGATTTTGAAAAAGACAAAAAAAATATTTGTATGTTGTATCTTCGAAATCAGGAAAATTATTTCTTATGAAATTTATTGGGTAATTGGAAACGCTGTTGATATTTTTAGGGGTTGTTCGTATTGAATATCCTACCCTGTGTATAAACCTAAAAATACTTATTCTCCCTCGCTAAATTGTTTTTTTTAGTTAATGGCTGCAGGATGGACGCTAATGATATAAATTTGGTTCGGTTTTAATTGAGCGTCCGAATTGTTTTTTTTTGTAGAGCGTGTGGCATTAATTGGCGGCGATCCGTATCGATTCGTCCGGCCGCCGCAGCCGCCGCCACCACCATCGGGTTGTATAACTTACGTTCAGCTCGGCGCCACTTGTGGTGAAGAATCTGAATGGGGGACTGCGACCCTTGATGTACTGGAAGATCTTGGTGCCCGCCTTCTGCCATTCGACTTTGTACAGCTGCTCCGGCGGCACGCTGTGATTGCATTTCAATATCACGTCGCCGCCTCTGATTGCATAACGAGGCATGACCAACTCCAGATAGTCGATGCTCGCGTACGATCCTGAAACACCAAAGCGCATTACAGAGTTATTACTGAAACAGCTGACACAAATATATTAGTTTCAAACGATTTATTTCAATATTTAGCAATTTTTTCTTTGATTTAATAAATAAATGTCTACAATATTTGTTTATAATTGCTTAATGTTGAGTACACACTATTCATGATATGAGATAGGGATCGGCAATTCGCGGCTCCGGAGCCGCATTGAATGTGTAGTTTATTGGATTTTAATAGCAATAATCTTAAAAATGGCTCTTAACTCCATAATGGTTGCCGACTCACTAATTTGGGACATAATAGGAAAATTTAATTCAAAACTCAAATCGTTTCCTAGAATAGATTTTGATTGAACTTCAAAGTTTTCTGAAGTATGTAATCAAGTATAAGTTGTCTATAAGTCTTATATACATTTTTCCCTTATTATATGTAGTATAGGGGAAGGAAAAAGTAATACATTTATACAAAGGTCTAATAAATGCAGTATTTTTGTTCATTTTAGTTTTTTTTTGTAACTTGAGATATCAAATTGTGTTAATGATTTGTTGTGGAATATTTGTTATTTTCATCCGAATTTCAATGATACATGTATAAATATATATCAGAGGAATATTCTTAATGAAACAGTCGAAGCAATATGAGGGTGGGATCTTCGTGTTCGTGTGATATTAGCATTATTTATGAGCACCCTCGGAACTCCTCCTGAGCAGTATCAGAAAAATATTAACGCATCGATTTCGCATTAGCTTTTAGTATGGTGCGGCCGCCCCCGGCGAGATTTGTAGCAGTTCGGTAAATGCCACAGCCCTTCTCGCACTGACAAACGTGTGAGTCGGAACCTTCTCTCCTCTCCAGCTACCATCCCCATGCTGTCCCGGATTCAATGAAAGAAGACGGAACGTGAAGGGGTTGTAAAATTTTCAAAGTTAATTAGGCTGAAAACTAATTTATCGCCGCCGCAGTGAAATAGAGCGCGCCGAATTTACAGGGCCATTCCGTTTTCCCTTTTGCCTTGGGAAACTGGAAAGTTCAGTCCAATTAAAAAAAGGAAAGTGATTGTAGGGTGGCCAAGACGTATGGACGGGAGAGGAATGAAGAACCAAAAAAAAATATAAGAGTGGAAAAGGAATAGTACGGAGACGAGTGAAGCGAAAATTAAAGCGAATAAAGAGTAACACCAAATTGCTACATAAATTCTAGCTAATACTGTTGTTAAACAAGATACCCTAATTGATTCATTATTAACGATCGACCCCGCACGATCAGCTCTAAATACTATTTACTGCGTTTTCACGATCGTCGTATACATCGTAAATAAATATGACAGCAATGTGTAATTAAATTAAAGATTGGTTAACCAATAAATCTGTCAATTTGTTTAAGCTATATTTTATATGATTATAGTCATGGTATAAAAAATAGAATGCAATAATGTCCTCATATAAAAATTCAACTAAATTACATTTCTAACTTTCATATAACTGCAAATATGAAAATGCAATGCGAATATACATCTCAATCAGTGGATGCACACGGACCCACGAACGGGGGCTCAAGAGAAGTAGAGAAGAAGTTGTTTTTTTTTTTTAAATATCAACACTTGAAAACATTTCTTGGAACCACAAATTCAAATTCGATGGGGCCCTCGAATTACATTTTGCTTAAGTCCTCTAAATACAAATGTGCATGGGCCCACAAATTTAATCAATCAGCTTTTCTCATACCACTTCTTGTTACAACATTAATCATAAAAGAATAAACAGGAGATACGTTTGTTGGAAGTAGTGTGTACACACACTATACATATTGAAATGTAAAACTACGTAAAAGATGAGAATCACAATCATAGCACATATTTAATGTGTACTTATCGTATTACATTTACTAGAAATTATTCTTGATTATATGAATAAAATATATGTAATTGCAAGCAACAGTTATTACCGGCTTTGACACAAGTCATAAAACAGTTAATGAAAAGTCAAGTACTTAAAAATATTTTATTGTTTAGGATTTCCGAAGTTAATTATATAATTGAGCTTAATTGAAACTCTTTTCAGTAACAATTTTAGTAAAAATCCTAATTAATGTCAGTAAAATATATTATTAATAACTTTTTAGTATAGTTTCAATAAATAGAGAAGCGTTGGCGCCTAGGTTAGACTAATATCATAATTTGATTACTATTGGGAATTTGTACTATAGATAACTTGTCTAGACTACAAACAAATACTACAATATTTAGTGTTTTATTTGTATAGTTAATTGGGTTCACGTAATGTGGTCCATCCTGGGGAAAGTAGTTGCTTTAAATGGACCAATATTTTATGCACTTTTTTAGTATTAATCCTAAATAATTCCCAGTATTCATCTGTCAATTTATTCATTATTACAGTGGATATTTACAGGATTAATTATAGACTTATTTATTTATTTATTTTATGAATTATAAAATATTTTATATTAACCCAAGTTCCACATATACATTACATTTTTTTATGTGTGAAATTCACAAAGGATTTAAGCAAATAAAAAGGGCTTTAATAATGATAAATAGTATAGACGCATGAATAGTGTATAAAAAAGCATATATATATATATTTGAATTCGGCGAAAGGAAAGGTCAGGTCAACACATTAACTTTTACGTTGGATGTGGAAATTGAACGTGCTCAGGTCGATGAAAAGATAAATCCACGCTTCGATGAAAGTATAAATAAAACGCTTGTCCGAACAGCGGTTAATGTTATAATTAAGCACGTAAATTAATTCATTATTAACGGTCGTCAGGTAAATCTGTAGATCAGATACCGAATTGCGTGGTCAAATTACAACTAAATGTAACACGCAAATAAACACAAGTTGTGTCAGATGTTTGATGTAAATAGGTAGTAGTAACATGTAATTGGATACAGCTGTACCAGAAAGTAGGTTTTGTCCTGCAATCGAAGATCCGAGCTGCGATCTGTGAGTTGGGTCATCACCCGGGGAGGAGAACGAACATTATTTATGTTCTGGAACAAAGGACAGCCTGTGTGTACCTTAATATATTTTATTTCGTGGCGCAATTTATTTTAAAGCCGACCCTGAGGGACATACGTGAAGTGAACCTAGAAACAATTTGGGACATAGAAATAGAATCTATACGTGATACTAAAGATTTCATTTATTTGAAGCTACTTAAATATTATAAAGTTAATACAAGATATTTTAACTTTGTTTTGATGAATTATAGTAATATTAATTACATTCTTTAATTTACCTTACAAAAATATAACACTTACATTTATTTATATAATTAACAAAAATACCTCACATAGTTCGGTTTCAATCAGTCCACTAGAGTCCGGTTCGAAAATTTGAAATAAAAACTAAATTTTTATTCAGCAAAAGAATAAATTTTAAATAATTAGTTTACATTTTTTTTATACATAAATGATCATTTTTTTTATCTTTATACAGAAAATTCTCTTTTCATGCGGTTTGTAGTTAGAACTTCGAGTAGTCTGATTTCAAACAGTCCGGAGTATTGACGGAACAGTTTACCCGGACTATGCGAGGTAATTATGTATTTCTTTTGAATTAAAATAGTGGAACTAAGTTGGGAACTTGAGGAACTTCAGAAATTAATATTAAAAAAATTGACTGTTGATGTATAACGTTATTTTTTAATTATTATTGCGTCATTAACTAAACCAAACTTACTCTTAAAGTCGGTATAAATTAGATAATCTTTACTTCGAACTTTTAACATGTGAAATCGTTTATAAAGAAAGAAAAAAAGCTTTGACAAACAATATTAATATTTGATATAAGAAATTTAATAGACACATTACAAATTTATTTATTTGGCAAATCTTTCATAATGTGTTTAATTTTATTGAAATAGTAATTATTGAGTGAATTGCTAATTAATTAATCATTTTTACAAATATATTAATTCTAAAATAAAGTAAAACTATAGATTTATAGTCAATTCAAATCACTATCATATTGAATACATTCAGAAAACAATAAATAATTTACAAGAAAAAGCAAAATATTGTGTATAAACTGAAATTCTCATAAAATGCATTAGTAATTTTAGAAGATAATTTGAAAAATTTTACTATTAGAAAAATATTAAATTATTTACAAAAATCTTGAATAATTAAACTTTTCGATTTAGTATTGAAGATGTAAATACGCTCGATTCGAATTTCATGGGAAAAATGTTTGCTAATTATGAATTTATAAGACAAACGAAGTTTTTAATTGAGAATCGACACATAAATAATACATGAGTAATATTGAGAAACAAAATCGCTATCAAAATTGATTGAACCTTGAGGGCAAATTTATTCCATTAAATTTCGATTGGCACACGTATTGTATCTTTGGAAGAGCCAATTACCTGTTTTTTCATCACCATCGGACAAAGGTTTTTTCTGTTATTTTAAACGTATTTTCAAATGTTTTCATCCCTTTGCCACCTCTTTCCTTAGTCCCTCTTTAAGGGATGGTGGAGGTAGAAGGGTATGGGAATATAAACAGAGAGGGTACGAAAGATATGGCAGGGGTGGCAGCTGGCATCTGTGGGTCCCGATAATTAAAAGCCCCCCTAACGTTCGGGCGGTTGGGGGTGGTTGAGTAAGCCGGAATCGATATCGCTTATTTAAGATAATGATCTGGAGCTTGCGCCGCCTACGCGGTTATTATTATGTAACGGGATTCTGCCGCCAACTTGATTAACAGTATCGTAGCTCCCAGAGATGCTCGCATTTCCTCATACAGTTCCATTTTTTACCTTCTCACCAAGATTTGATTCTTCGACCTTCTTAGCTTCATCCTTTTTATTCTTATATAGTACATATATACATACATATATTCGTCTACATATCCTCGCCTATCTAGGATATATTCCCAGGACTCTTCTATCTGTAGTTAGAATATGAGCCAGCGTCGGGGCTCATTATTATGCCAACCCCGACGTCTGTTATCTCATGCATTCGTTGCATGTTGAACATATCACGGGCTTTATGCTTATATATTCGTACACATTCTGTCTGTAAGGGCTTACGTAAAATGCTTCCACGGAGAAGAACCGGGAAGAGGAGCAAAAGAAAACGGACGCCGTTGTACCTGAGAATAATGTCTGTCGTTGTGTTTGTGTTTCCTTTTTTTCTCTCTTCTTTCAGCGCATTCTAAAGGCGTCTCGTGCAAAGATGTACAAACAGCTTTGAGTTAAGAATAGCCGTGATGAAAAATGAAGATCGATTTATCCATCGGCGATGATGGTGGTAACCTTCAGAAACAATGTAGTCTACTCGATTCTAGTTTTCAAGGGAATGTAAATATTTGGTAACAAATATATTGAGGCGCAAAGTTTGCATAGACAAAGGCAATATTTGTGATTCAACACATTTGCAACTAACGTAATTATTGCAGTAATTACATTAAATTTTCACACAACTTAATTTTATATACTTATAAAATACATTTATTTAGATTGACAATATATATTTGTATTACTTATATTATTTATTAAAATAAAATTTTATTATATAAATAAATAAATAATCAAAAGTTAATAATAGTAATAGTAAATAATATAAACAAGTATTGACCCATTTATTAAATACTTCCAAAATAGAGCAAATTATCGATTTTTTACTATAAATACATATTAATTGTTATCATTTATTGATTGTAAAATTATTTTATACTGATTTTATTACTCAAAACAGTCTGGTTGGTTTCTTGTATATGTCACAAAACGTTGCTCTTTTCTTTTCGCTCTTGCTTGGATATAACAAACACCTCTTCCTATTAGATGTAAGATGGATTCTTGATAATATTTCAAAAAATTGCTAGAGACAGGTCATTTTGA